GGGGGGGGGGGGTCCTAAAATTAGCCTTATACCCAACCATATTCTCAAAATAATGCAAAGTAAATGTTAATATGTTACACATGGATATAATTGGTCATGGGGCCGCAGCACTCGGCCCCCTAGCCTGTCCTAGCCTCAAGGTGCTCGGTCTCGACTAGCCTGTCCTAGCCTCAAGGTGCTCGGCCTCCTAGCCTGTCAGATATACCGCAGTGCTCGGCCCAGTAATTGACTGAACTGTAACCTAACCCTGTAATAATACAAAATAAACATTATTTTGAGGAAACTAATTGAAATCAGGGGGGTCCAAAAATTATATTTTGGGAATAACCCCCCTTTTTGTTCATATTTATTACTTGTTTTGTTTTTATTTTCAAATGTAAATGAAAATTTTCAGGGAGTCCATGAGGTTGAATTCTGTTGATTTACCCGACCTGAGGAAGTGAGTTGACCCCTCTGTGTGGAGTAGACAACGATAATTTTCCAGAGGAGGTTAAGGTACAGATACTATATAATATAAGTTTAATTCAAATGTAATTTAAAGGGACTGCAGACGTAATTTTTATTTATTGTGAAACTATATAAAATATTGCATTTTAAAAAAAGTGCACTCTCACATTGACTCAAATCTTTTAGAAACAAAATATTTTTTTCAAGAACTCTGGGCCGTTCAGATGCAAAAGTTAGGTTATATGACACAATTCAAAGCAGATGGAATTAGTCAATTTTAATTATTTCTTGGTGCTTATGAAACGACCCCTGAGTCTTGACGTAGAAATAGATTAAAACGTTAAACTAATTTTTTTTTCTTTTTTAGATGCAAGTTAGAGAAAAGTGCTTTAAATATAGCTGAAGAGGAAACTTCTTAAGTAGATAAGGGAAAACTGTACACTGTACAGGTGCAGGTAAACCTAAGAACTGTACACTTATCTGGCCGAAAGCTTCAAATCATCATATTTCTATAGTTTAAGGTCGTCTTAAGAGTCGCATCCTATTGTGGGTAACCCTGTTTGTAATCAATATCCAGAAAGAAAAACAAGAATAATCAATTTCTAGTGTGTGAAAGAGGGGCAGGCCCGTCAATAGATCAAAAAAGTTACCCTTGAAACCTTTATCTGATCAATAATTTGGAAGATATCGTCGTTCTTCCAGCTTCTTAAATTATTATTAATTATCAACTCGGATCATTTCCTCTCATTGTATCTAGAAAATGTGCAAGTAACTTTTCAAAGAGTTAAACAAGAGTTAAACTTTTGTGCCTTTGTGAGTCTATCAATGGAGGATCACTTGAAATTAGTGAAGAGTAACCCTGTACCTATATAGGATCCAGGTTTGGTGAGTTCTAATTAGTTGAGAATAACCCTGTACCTATCTAGGATCCAGGTTTGGTGAGTTCTAATTAGTTGAGAATAACCCTGTACCTATCTAGGATCCAGGTTTGGTGAGTTCTAATTAGTTTAGAATAACCCTGTACCTATCTAGGATCCAGGTTTGGTGAGTTCTAATTAGTTTAGAATAACCCTGTACCTTTCTAGGATCCAGGTTTGGTGAGTTCTAATTAGTTGAGAATAACCCTGTACCTATCTAGGATCCAGGTTTGGTGAGTTCTAATTAGTTGAGAATAACCCTGTACCTATCTAGGATCCAGGCTAGGTGAGTTCTAATTAGTTGAGAGTAACCCTATACCTATCTAGGATCCAGGTATGGTGAGTTCTCAGACTTCATACAACTAATGTAAAGGAATCCGAGCAGATGCATCTAAAACCGCATGTAATGTGAAGGTATCATTTTAAATAACAAGATTTTGTTAAAGGGGCTTTGGTTTGATGACTTTTTAAGGTTGGTTAGATAGTTGGTTAGGTGGTTGATTGGTTGGTTAGTTGGTTGATTAGATGGGTGGTTGGTTGGTTTGTTGGTGGGCTGGATCATTGCTTGGATGGTTGGGAAGTAGAAAAACTCTTCTATTTTAATTTCATTAACCTATATATATTTCTCGGTTCTTAGAGTACCCTAGAAGTTACTTTAGAGAAGTCTGAGAAGATTAAGCTAGTCCAGTGTAATTAATGAACAGGTAAAATTGCATGGTTTCCTGTAAGTATAAATTCAAGTCACTCACTATGCAAAGAATATAGTTAAAAATTATCCACTTAAACAATAATGTTGGAGACATTATTGTTTTTCAGGGTTGGTTGGTTTGTTAGTTTTCTGGATGGTTGGTTGGTTGATTGGTTGGTTGGTTGGAATGATTACTTTCTTGGTTGGCTTGATGGTTGTTTTGTTGTTTGGTTTGATGGATGGTAAGATTGGTTGCTTGGTTGTTTGGTTGGCTTGATGTTTGTTTGGTTGTGTCGTTTGATGGATGGTTGATTGGTTGGTTGGTTGTTTGGTTGGTTGGTTGGTTGATTGGTTGGTTGGTTGATTGGTTGGTTGGTTGGTTGATTGGTTGGTTGATTACTTTCTTGGTTGGCTTAATGGTTGTTTTGTTGTTTGGTTTGATGGATGGTAAGATTGGTTGCTTGGTTGGCTTGATGTTTGTTTGGTTGTGTCGTTTGATGGATGGTTGATTGGTTGCTTGGTTGTTTGGTTGGCTTGATGGTTGTTTGGGTGTGTCGTTTTTATGGATGTTTGTTTGGTTGCTTGGTTGTTTGGTTGGAGGGTTGGTTTGATTGTTGGTCCGCATAGAAGTCTTACAGAGCTATTTTTAGGATAAGCTACATAGGATAAACTAGAACGAACTAGAACAAAGTAGAACAAAGTAGAACAAACTGGAACAAACTGGAACAAACTGGAACAAACAGGAACAAACAGGAACAAACTAGAACCAAATAGAACCAACTTTAACAAGCTAGAACAGACTAAAACAAACTAGATCGAACTAGAACAAACAGGAACAAACTAGAACCAAATAGAACCAACTTTAACAAGCTAGAACAAACTAAAACAAACTAGATCGAACTAGAACCAACAAGAACCAACAAGAACCAACTGGAACAAACTAGAACAAACTAGAACAAACTAGAACAAACTAGAACAAACTAGAATAAACTAGAATAAACTAGAACGAACTAGAACGAACTAGAACGAACTAGAACGAACTAGAACGAACTAGAACGAACTAGAACGAACTAGAATAAACTAGAACGAACTAGAACGAACTAGAACGAACTAGAACGAACTAGAACGAACTAGAATAAACTAGAACGAACTAGAATAAACTAGAACAAACTAGAACGAACTAGAACGAACTGTTGAAAATATTAAATTTTTATGTTATTTAGGTTTGATGAGGAAGAATTATTGAGAACTTGAATATTCCGACATCTATTTTATCATATCTCTTGGACAATGGACACATATTTTCCAAAAGTAACAAAGAACTTGTTCCAGACTCAGAGTAGCGCAGCAAGCACTTTAAAGCATAGTGAGAATTAGAAAACTGTGAAAATAATGTCGTATTTATTTTTTCTTTAAACAGCGTTAAGGATTTTAATCATCTACAATTGCAATAAATTCGATTGTTTTTGTTTTTTCTTGTAAACTTTTTTTATGAACTATCAGATAGTTCAAATGTTTCTGATCAAGCCAGTTCTTTAAAGATTTATTTTAATTTCTAAATCTAGTAATAAATAAGTACTCGCTTCACACTCTAATTTGCCATTTCCTTCATCTTTGCAACCTGATGGTGCAAACCTTTGTTTTCTTTAACTTTGATATTTTACAACTACGAAAAGTTACTCTAAGAAATATCAAAGGTTGACGTCATTGGGTTGCAAAGATATAAAGACTTTTAAATTTGGATGAAAAATCAGTTTTATTGTAATTAAACTAAAAACTTTGTGTTCTTTCTTTAAATTTCTGCATTTATCTATAAATAATTGTAAATAAAAAATAGTAACATCCGTTTTGAATTACTACATTTTAAATTTGACCTAGTTTCGAAATTTTGCAGCAGTCTGGATCTATCATACCCATAAATGTATTTTTGAAGGTTCTTTTAGATGGTTTTTATCTAGTATTTTATATAAATGTTATACTCAGTAGTCTTCAAATTGTCATTTTTAGTTAAAAAATATGTGTTATTAATCGAAACACAATAATTAGAAGACATACCCTTAATGATGAAGAACACAAAGCTGTATTGGTAGCCACTAACTATGAATTCTGTAAGATCAAATAGTTTGAAATATCAAAGGTCTAAAACATCATGTTGCCCAAGATGGGGCTTCTTGCAGATCTCATCTCACATATCACATATCACATAGAGAATTTTTTAAAGAAAGGTAAATAATTCATCTGTTTTATTAAGATCTGAGTAGGGTTCAGGTTAGAGACGAATATGGTTCAGGTTAGATATGAGGAGGGCTCAGGTTATAGATGAGTATGGTTCAGGTTAGATAAGTAGGGTTCAGGTTATAGAGTAGGGCTCAGGTTAAAGAAGAATATGGTTCAGGTTAGATGAGTAGGGGTCAGGTTAGAGATGAATATGGTTGAGGTTAAATATGAGTAGGGCTCAGGTTATAGATGAGTAGGGTTCAGAATAGATATGAGTAGGGCTCAGGTTAGAAATGAATATGGTTCAGGTAAGATGAGTAGGGTTCAGGTTAGAGATGAATATGGTTCAGGTTAGATGAGTAGGGCTCAGGTGAAAGATGAATATGGTTCAGGTTAGATGAGTAGGGTTCAGGTTAGAGATGAATATGGTTCAGGTTAGATGAGTAGGGCTCAGGTGAAAGATGAATATGGTTCAGGTTAGATTAGTAGGGTTCAGGTTAGATATGAGTAGGGTTCAGGTTAGATATGAGTAGGGTTCAGGTTAGATATGAGTAGGGTTCAGGTTA